CCTAATTTATGAATAGCTTTTGGAGAAGTCTTTTGGGGAGAATTGCTGTAAGCGGAGGAATGAATTGGCATTAAGAAAAACTGCTGTCAGCAGGAGGTACCCAAAAGCTCCTCATGCATACATTTCGTGTAAAGCTCAATTCCCAGTGACTTCATGGAAATAAATGAGTAGTTTTCTCGGCAATAATACAGAAGTGGATTGCCATTGTCTTGTCATCTCCAGCTTCCCAGGCAGCCTCATCTCCCTTGGAGGTCTCCTATGCAGTTTGTAAGCCCAGACAATTATGGCAACTGCTGCCTTCTGCTGCAGTAGCAACTTCGTATTTGTTTTGGAGTTGATCAAAATCCTGCTACTTGAGGAAATATCTTCCTCAGGCTTGTTGTCTGGATTGCAGAAACCATGACATCATAGTGGCTGCTGATTCTTCATTAAATGTTGACTATCGAAAGGAAATAATTCCTTTCTCAATTCCTCCTTTAGCCCTGCAGCGTCCATTCAGTTCACAATTTCAGCCTTTGCCAAATAAATGAATCAATAACCAAGGGAATGTGAGCTGCTACACTGCAACTGTCAACAACATTTTATGGTTTAGTTTCTTGACCAATTATTCAAAAAGAAAAAACCAACCCTCTGGTCCTGTAACCGACCCAGATTGGATCTTGCAACATTATCCTGGGACACGTATATTTGCCTTCATTTATACTCAAAAAGTATTCAAAATAAACATAGTTGGATTTCATGAATAATAGCAAAAAGTTGGATTTTATTTATCCATTGTTGTTACACATTTAATATCTCTCATTGAGGAATCACTATTTTCTTAATGCTATTTACCGCCCTCATTCATCCATTCTGGTTCTGCTTTCCTTGGCACCATTACTAAATCTTTGGTTACTAAAACTGAACTTATATTTCGCTGCTGGTCATCTAAAACAAACTAGTAGTTATTATATTCTCTAAGAGAAAAGAGATCATTAGCAGCCAAAAAACTCCCCAACAAAATCTTTAAAACAGGAAATTAAGCAGTTTATGCCCAAACAGAAGGTCTCAGAAAGCAGACTGCTTAAATGGTCTGTAGCTCTCCGGGTCAGCAGTTATAAATCACACTTACTTAATTTAGAAGGCCACCTAATTCCAAAATGAGAAAAGCATATGCACCTTTTTGAAAAATCACCCAGTCCCTAAAATACTGAACTAAAACTGCACAAAAGGGTACCATAACAGATTGTAATAAAGGTTGTTGAGAGATCAAGAAGAGCAAGGACAGATGCTCCGCTCCCATCATGCTTTCACAAGAGGTCATCCAAGACTGTGATCAATGCCATCTCAGTTTCACACAGAGGTCTGAACCCTGACTGAAAGTGGTCCAGATAATGCATTTTTTCCAGAGACCTTTGAAGCTGAAGCACAACCACCATTTCTACAACTTTCCAAGGTTGGAAACTGGATGTATGTTGTCCAGAATAGTATTTTTTTTCTCCAAACTTGTCCAAGGGATACATTTAATTGATATCTTTTCACAGCCCTTGTTTACACAAAAGATGAAATGAACTTTTCTCTCTAATATTCTTGCTCCTTCCATGTCATCAACAAGTGCTTTTCTGTTGTCAGCATTAAGTCTAGGACAGGGGTGTCAAACTCAAGGCCCGCAGGCCAAATCCGACCTGTGGGTGCTTAAATCTGGCCCATGGGGCCAGTCAGGAAATATCAAAGGACCAGCCAATAGTGCCTCTGCCAGCCAAAACTTTAAATATCAAAGGACCGGCCCCCGAGGCCTGTTTTTGGCCTCCACAGCCCCCTGTAGTACTCTGCTGGCTGAAAACAGCCAGCCAAAATCACTATCATAGATTCAGAATCATACTTCATTCTTGCTATAAAAAACTGAGGAAATAAGTAGTATGCTCCAGCTGCTGGAGGATAGACAGGGTGACAGTCAATCAATCAAACAGACAATTTAAGCAAGTCTTCCACTGTTGGCAGAGTGAAGGTTCCAGGAGATGTTAAGACAGTAGTAAATGGAAGATTTCAACAAAAATTCATCCATGCATAACCCTTATTTTATGCTCCAGGAAAGTATCATCTATGTCTTCTGGTTGGATGCTTGGGTGAGTAGATTTGCCATAGCAATGCTAGGGTGATTCTCTTCATTTTTATTCAGATGCTTTCTCAGAAGGGATTTCTGCACAGATTTACATATTCTTTACAAACAATGCCCCCTTTTCCTTGCAGTGAAGTCAAGTTCTCTGGAACAAAGTTTATCCTTTGCTTGCAATATTTTTATTGTAGTTTCATTCTATTAATTTTTAGATTGTATTATTACACTGTGTAATAATACAAACCATAAAAATATAATGATATATATCAATGTTGTCCTTCTAGCTTGTAAATTACTGATCTCTGTTGTCTGTAATTTATTAGCTTCCAGTGCCAATGTCTTACTGCAATCATTCTGGTCCCAATATTTTATACTCGCCCAGACCCCAAGATTTAGTTCCAAGGCTTTTTTGACCAAGCTTCTACTAAGCTTCTCGTGATAGGCATCCCTATCATCCATAAGGAACTTCCATTTTGGGTACTATTAAGGCAAGGTTTACAAACCCTAATCTTTTGCTAATGACTCTGTCCAGGCTCAGGTGCCACCTGTTCTTCTGTAATGTTCTAGTCTTTCCTCCCAGCGTTCTGACCTTTAAAAGTAAATACTGATGCAAACATAATTTGTACTCCTGAGTTCTTCATTTTCTTATCCTGAACTTTATTGTCTTTGGAGATACATTCAACAATTCCTCTGACTGGATCATTTGTCCCATGTGAATTAGCAAGGGAAAGCAGTATCCAATTATTCTGAAGATCCTCGGCAGTCTGCTGTCACATCTGGAATACAAGCTCCAGGAAAGCCATGCTCTTTCAAAGGTCTCAGGTTTGGAGATGGTTGCTTCTGTTCCTCTCCACAGGAAATCTCTGACAACCATATGCCTGCTCCTTCTTAGGCCGGCAGTTAAGCACTTTCCATCCACAGGATTCTGAATATTTTCCTTAAAATTTCTTCTTTTAACATAACAGCATCACTCACTAAGTCAAAAGTCTAAATAACAGCTGTGTGCTTCTAGTGCATTTCCAGAATGTCTCCTTTCTCTTGGTCCTATAAATCATGTTTTCATTCCTCCGCCTCTTACTCTTTTTTACTGCTTTGATTTAGAGAACTCCAGTCTTTCATGTCAAAACCGTGCTCCCTCCCTGATAAATTGGAATGACATGCTTCCAACCTTTTCACCTTCTGTTCTAAAAGAACCAGTTGCACACACTTGTTGCGTCTCTCATTCAGGCAGTTCTGAGACATGGGGGAAAAAAATCTAATACGAGTTCCGCAGGACACTTGAATGCCCCACTGAACATGGCATTTTTTTGCATCTCCACCATTGCTTGCTTTCTTTGTGCCCACACAAAACCTCTGGATGCCCAGTTTGGTTGCTGTGTCAGCTGAAAGAGTAGCCTAGAGAGAGAGACATATCAAATGCACCCAACAACCACAACAGCAAGCTCAGGCAAGGCTCAAATAGCCAAAAGCAGAGGCAAAGAGGCAAATTATATGACAGTAATCAAATCTCTACCACCACAACCTCAGGATCAAAAGAAGAATTTTCAATGGAGTGTCTATGTGTATGTAAAGAAAATTATAGCAGCCTAAGCAAATAGAAGAGGGAAAATAAAACAAAGAAAGGCCCTGTACAGTAAAAGGCTAAACCAGGTGCCTCCACAGTCTAAACAAAATGTGAGGTGGTCAAAACCAAAAACAGAGACTTAAGTAAGCCTCATAATTGGTCCCAAACCATAACTCATCTCCAACTCATACCAAGCTCCATTTTTTTTTTTTTTTTTGGCTCTGGGTGTTTACTTTCACACTAATAGTTGCTGCTCCAAGTACTTCTAGCTATCTTCCTTTGCCTTTCACTCCTCAGATGATATAGTATCTTTCCTGAGGACACTACCAAAGAAGTAATAAAAGAAATCAGATAAGTTTAGAGAGATAATCAATCCTTCTCCACAAGAATATTTTCCTTAATTAGCATCAAATATGCATTTAATCAAATCTTGGACTGGCAGAATATAAACTATTTCTAACTATCACTAAGCAGAAAATGATATTTTTGTCAAATACAATAATCTGAAAATGCAACAGTGGCATTTCTGTTCAAACTGTTATAGGTAAGATTTAGGAAGAGAGTACTCAACTCCATGTTATTCTCCCAAGGAGCCTACTATGGAATACAAGATCTCAGGGATGGTGAGTGAGTATCATAGAGCCTGTCCATGGCACCCTCCCACCTCTTCCTGCTTAGCAATCCACACAATCCTGGGGTTATGATGGCAACCAGACAGCCAGGATTGCCGCCTCTAAGTGTTGTGATCACTTATGACCACATCACTTTGCAACAACAACTCAAGTACCAATTAACATCAGAACGTACCTGTAGTTTTAAATAGTAACTAGTTCTTCATCATGATATCTGTGATTCACACATGGATTAGCAGGTTGAATAGGAAACAAAGGACCTGGCCATCATATGATAACCAGCTTTTCCAAAGTTGCAGCTCTGTAAATATCTTCAAATTTACAGTCTACATAACTGGGTTAAGGTGGAGGTTTGAACCCATATGGCCACCCAACATACCTCTAACAGGGGATTACCTACCAGAAGAGGATGTAGGTAATTAGCTCAAGGGCAGCTCTGTTAGCTTTATGGCAGTCAGAAGCAAACCAAAAGATTTTGAAAATGGCTTCCACCAAATGATTCCATAAATGATGACTGATGATTCCATAAATTATAGGGGATTATAAACAGAGCTCTGCACCTAACCTTTATGTAGAAATCCTCTAAATAGATGAGATATCTATAAATAACATGCACAAAAAATCAAACATTTGCCTTGGTCTATAAAGATCCAAATTTCATCTTCTTTTCTACCAAATTATTTAGAAAAGCTTTTTCTCAGTTACTTACCTTCACTTGTAACAATAGGATGCTCAAACCTTTGACACTGGGAATCTTCTATTGCCTTGCCTCCTAAACATATTATCTCCAGACTTGTGACCATCAAAATTGCTGTCAGAATAGTGTCTTGCATATTGATCCTGGGCACCAATCACATCTCCCTTAATCAGAAATGCTTCAGGTATTCAGATGCGAAAACAGCCTGCAAAATGTAAAAGTAACACCACCAGATTTACCATTAGACCAGGGTTTACCAACTTGTTTATTCTTGGCACACATCCAATGTTCCAGATTTTTGTTCTAAATCATGCTTTGTCATCCCAAATCTTTTATTCAAACAATAAACACCTCTGATGACATACAAATGTTGTATGTTGCATAAAGATAAATGTTCCCCTTGCACATATGTGCTAGTCGTTCCTGACTCTAGGGGGCAGTGCTCATCTCCATTTCAAAGCCGAAGAGCCAGCGCTGTCTGAAGACGTCTCCATGATCATGTGGCCAGCATGACTAAATGCCAAAGGCACACAGAACGCTGTTACCTTCCCACCAAAGGTAGTCCCTATTTTTCTACTTGCATTTTTTACGTGCTTTCGAACTGCTAGGTTGGCAGAAACTGGAACAAGTAACGGGAGCTCACCCCGTTACGTGGCACTAGGGATTTGAATTGCTAAACTGCTGAACTTTCGATCGACAAGCTCAGCGTCTTAGCCACTGAGCCACCGCATCCCTGTATGTTGCATAATAACATATAAAAGATACAAAGTTTTTTTTTCTTGCCTCTTTCTCTCTCTCAACACAAACATCATTTAAAACTATTGTCTTTTTTTCTGATGATGATTCCAAAAATCATTTGCCATAACATGCCAGACCGAGATCATAATTCATGGTTTCTAAACTAGCCCAAGAATGATTAACTCCTGTATTTTCAGAGGATACAGTATCAATATCATTCTGTCCTTTTTTGGAAGCTATCAGTCAGACAGACCTAAACTATTAAGAGATGGTGCATTTGCATCTTACAGAAATTCATAATATTAAAATGTATTATGTAAAATGGGATTTTGTTTTCATAACTGCCAGAAATTTGCAATATAAAGACTAATATTATATAGAACGGTGGAAGCAGAAAATGAGGCTAAAGAAAGCAATTCTACATGTTATTTATTTTACAAAGTTGTTGTTAAAATTGTGGTTTATCCATAATGTTAAAGCATCATCATTTTTTCTTCTTAAAATCATTATTTCTTTTTAAAATCATCATTATTTTTCTTTTTAAAATATCCATTTCAAATGGTCTGCATTTCTAGGCCAGCATATCTTTGATATGAATATTCTATGAAGCTCTCTTCATAGAAGTCAGAGTCTCTTTGGGAGAACGTCATTTTATATATCTCTGTTAGATACCTAGCATTGTTGTCATCCTGTTTATATAGATTGCCCAAGAGGAATATAAGAATAAATTAGATCTATTAAAGAATTCTACCATTTGCACCACAGCAAAGCTTTTTTTTTTTTTTTTAACTCTTGGTAATATATGATTCAACATATTTTATTTTGCTAGCTTCCAGTAAGGACAATTGCTATGAGCAATGGCTTTTGATTTGTGCTTCAGAGGACCCTGGAGTTAGTTGGAAGTTTGTTAAAGTTTCTGGTAGGTATATTTCTCTGAGTAACACAATCTCTTACAATGTCCAGAAAGCTTATTCAATTATTTTCTAGTTTAGAAAGAACTATAATGAGATTCACCAGGTCTGGCCTGCATCTTCTAAAACTACATAAATATTAAGAACATTTCCCAGACACCTACGCAAGACGAATGTAGAGCTGTTCATCATTATACACAAACATTTTAAAAGCACTCGGAAAAAAATTACAGGCTTAAAGAAACCTGATTTGCTGTATGTTTGCTGAAAAGCATTGTTTAAGTTATTCTTACGTGTCAAAGTCATGGGAGTCCGCATGATTGTCAAATATTCAGCTATCACTTGATGCTGCTCCAATTCAAAACTATAAATTGGCATAAAGAAAGGCTTACTAAAGTCCATTACAGCATCATTCTGATTACATCCTAGGTAAATAATCTGGTGAAAACGTTAAAAAAAAAAATTTGTAAATGCTTTCATGAATATTTAGCCATTTCAAAATTCAGACTGATTCAGATTTTAATTCACATGTACTCATTCATTCTACAAAATATTTGAAAGTAACAATATTTTGCCCATTAATTCTTGGCAAAGTTATAAACAGAGCATTTACAAAGATAATCAGAGTTTAGACCTCATATAATTCTTTGTCAACCTCTCCCAGATAAATAAAATATGCATAAACAATTGTTATGTATAGTCCTTGACGATCTTACAACATTAAAAACAGCAGGAGAAAATAATTTGGTCAAACAACTACCCTAGGCAAATAAAAGTATGGGATTAACAACCACAGTTGGCCAGTGAACACTGGCAACCACAAAATGGATTTTGCTACTTGTTGAGTTCACTGAGTCCTAGTAATAAACTAACATATCATATGTTGCTCAGTAATCTTTCTTCAAATCTGGCACAAGTAGCAATTATATAACCAGCCGCTGGGGAAATTTGAAAAAACCAAAATAGCAGAGGCTATTTTGGACTTTCTCCAAAATCTGTATCAATTGTGTTCTCAGCCCTCTTTTCAGAGAAGTGATAAGCGAGTATCCCAAGGAAAAACAGTGCTTGTATGCAGCTGAAATTTTTGGACCTTTGAAAAAGAAGGATTCCTAATAGTACAGAGGTATGTTTTACGGCCACCTAGAAAATTCAGAATGACTGTTCATATAAGAACCATCATAGAGCTTGTAGCTCATGTTGTGAAAACTGAATGAAGAGCCTCAGGCAAATTACCAGCTATTAATTTGGAAGATCAGGTTATAAACAAATAAATCAAAACAAAGGAGTTGAACAGTTATTTATTTAATCTCATATTATTTTAATGACATCTCCATTGGATTATGAATCAACTTTAAAGCTATTTATATATTACTATTTATGATAGGAATGATAAAATACCAACCTTAATGTGCAGAAATGATTCAGAACAGAAAAAGCATTGAACAGTAATAATACTAATTTATAAAAGCTTTCTTATTTCCCTTTTTGTCTCTGGATTGTATTGATGATAAATGGAAAAATGCAATAGTTAGCATAGGTTGACCACACAATTTAACTAAACATTGAGCAATAAGTCAAAGCTGCATTTTTTAAAAATTGTAATCCATTAATGCATAGCTTGTGATTTAATTCATTCATTTAATTGGATAGCTCTGGAGCTTTATTGTTACATTAATACTATGTGATACTTTTATTTATAAAAGCATTTGCCCCTCATCTTTCTGGCTCAAAACTATCCAGAATGACTAGCAACTATATAAATTATAACTTAAAAAATAAAAACCATACAATGGCAAACCCGATTCTTTTAAGAGGTGAACAATCCAAATACACTCAAGATAAATTACAGAATTATCCTGTAATCATATGTTCTCTTAAAGACATTTTGAATTTGATTCGATCTATTATTTCATATAATTACTGCATTCAGAAACGAACAATCCATATCTCCTTAGAGTAAGGTAGAAAGTGTGCTAAGCTATCATCACTATCCTGTAGACAGTGAATTTAAAAACCATGGACAGTTGCTTCCTATAGTTTCATGAAGATCTTAAAGAAATGGTGGGGTGAGGATCTCATAAATCCAAGCTCAGGAGATAAAGTCTGCTTTGAATCTATTCTTTAGGAAAGACACAATACACAATAGCCTAACCATCATACTCTCCATCTGACCCCAAAGAATACTATATTTAATAGTAACAAAAGGTGCTAAGAGCTCAAACACAAACTGAAGCCATTGTTTTCAATCTCAAGCCTGTGATAGATACAGATTGAAATACAGTACTTGATACTTCTGAACTTAAGTCATCAACATCTTGCTCAGTATAGACACTCGTGACCACAGGTGACTCAATATGCTGAGTTAAAGAAGGCTTTTTAAATTCTACTACTATCATTTTCACAAACAAAAATATCTTTACAAATGTGTTAAAATACATAAGAGGGCTTTTAGAATATTATGTTGCCCATACTGATGACTGTATGGCTTATATGTCTGTAAGCTATGCCGAGCTATTTGAAATTGGACAGCATACAATTTTGTTATAAATAAGTTAATGCTTGCTCTTAGAATTATTTAACCAAAAGCTTCCAATATATATATGAGATGCAGCCAAAAACAAGCAAGATTTAAATTGGAAAGATTTATCCAATTTTCTCCTTTGAAAAAGGTGGGAGTAAACTAATACAAATCATAGTTTGGACATCTGTGATTTAAATGTTCAGTTTTCAAAATAATAAAAAATAGAAGAAAAATGCTAGCTTTTTTAGTTTCACCATTTGTAGAGTCAACTGTGGAAAAGCGGTATAGACTGCAACATGTTTAGCGCCATAAAGTATAGCGACATTTAACATACTAATATCATTTGCATCAATGGATAGTCCATAAATTTCACCATTGCTCCTGCCCGTTCTGACAAGCTCCTCCAAGCAACCTCATAAAAAAAGCTGATTGTTCTCTACTCCAACCTTTTCCAATATTCTTTAAGAGGTCTCAAAGGGTTTCTACAGTCTTATTAAAGGATCATCTAGGGCCAAGCCCATTACCAAGATGTAACCTTTGATTGATTAGGGACCCAGAGCATCAAGAATCTGTTTCTTTGCAGCATAAAAATAAAAGTATAAAATTATTTCTTTCAAATATACTACAGTTCTCTTGTATTTCAGTACAGGAACATTAAAGCAACATAAAGAACTCACCAATTAATCACAATTCAGGCTTTTTTTTTTCTTCTACAAAATGTATTTTTTTAAAAAAAAAAGCAATTACATTGACAGTGCATTTAAAGTGAAACAACTACTGTATATTGTTGTTTTGGGGGATTTGTTCTTACATTTCATCTGTTGAGATTTAAACATTTTTTAAATCTGGCTTGATCCTGGCTTGATCCCACCGTTTCGGTTAAATTGAATTGATTTTAATTGGGTTGTTTTAAATTGTGGCCAAAAATATTTAATTATTTTTTAAACTGTTTTTAAATTTTGTATGTTCTGTTTTTATTTTGGCTGTTCACCGCCCTGAGTCCCACTGGAGAAGGGCGGTATACAAATTAAAACAAATAACATAAAAATAAATAAATAAATTTTGGTGTCACAAATTTTGTATTTTTTTTTAAGTTAAGAACTTTTTCAATCTTTTCCTACAAATATTGGATAGAGAGATGTGCGGGAAAAAAACAAACAGGAATGATGGAAGAAGCAAATACTGCTCCAACATTTAATTGCCATAGTATTGAGTCCCTCAGCTGGAATGAGAAATCCTGAGTCTCCCTCAATCTCTGCCTCTCTTCTAGGAAAAGCATTCCGCCATATATCCAAATAATTCCTTCTTTTAAAATGTATCTAAAAAGGAGGAAGAATGTGTTCCCTTCTTGTTTTTAGGAAGGCAATTAAAACATAGTTTTATGTTTTAAAACACTAGGCTTTAAAACTTGAAATGTGATCTTTTTGCCTCTGTTAGTACAATGCTTTTTGATTTTTGGTTACGTTAATGAGTGATGTTGGATGGTGCAACCATTCTGGCCCACTTGGACCACTCAGTGGCTTTCAATACCATTGATCATGGCATCCTTCTGAACAGCCTTTGGGGATCGGGAGTGGTTCTTCTCTTGTGGCAGTCAGTGTTGGTGGAAGGTCACATTATGGGACCCTGTATTGTGGGGTTCCCCTGTGCTTGAGGTTTCCCCCTCTCCTTTTTAACATCTATATGTAACAGCTGAGGGAGATCATCCAATGGTATAGAGTGCAGTACCATCAATATGCTGGTGATATCCAATTATGTTGATATAATGATATCCATCCCTAGCCAGACAGATGATGCTGTAGAGGCTGTAAGAGTTGGGGAAGAGTTGACTTCAACTCACCCCTGGCAAGACAGTGACTCTCGATTTATGCCCCCACTCGGGGCCATATAATAATATTCCACCTCTAGCTCGGGTCAGGGAGCATACCCCTGGAATATGTTGGTGGTCTTTCCAAGTGCAATTCAAGATGCTGGTTACTATTCTATATGGCACATGGTCAGGTTATCTGTGGGATTACTTCTCCCTAAGGACATCTAAAAAGAGCCTTGGTGGCGCAGCAGACTAAAGCACTGTTAAGTAACACCAGCTGCCTGCAATTACTGCAAGTTCAAATCTCACCAGGCTCAAGGTTGACTCAGCCTTCCATCCTTTCACGGTAGGTAAAATGAGGACCCGGTTTGTGGGGGCAATAAGCTGACTTTGTATAAAAAAGAACACCGCTTGGGGGGGGCAAAAGCCCTACTAAGCAGGTATATACAAAAGTATGAAGGCTATTGCTTTAACGCATTGTAAACTGCCCTGAGTCTCCGGAAAAGGGCAGCATATAAATCGAACCAATAAATCGAATCAATAAATCTACCCATCCTACCAGATCAAATAGGGTGGGCACACACCTAGTTCCTGCCCCTCTGCCATTTTATGAAATCTGGGAACCATGAGATTTCCCTGCATCCCCTGCCCTGTGGAACACCCTTCCACTTGAGGTTTTGCAGGCCACTATGCATCTAGTCTTCCAAAGAGCACTTAAGATCTGGCTTTTCTCCAAAGCACTGGGATGGAGTGAAGTAGATGGGAAGATTTAACAAGGATGTTGGAAGTCTAACTTTGGCACCAGATTTTTAATGTTTCTCATTCTAAAAGATTCATATATTATACTGTTTGCACTTATGTTATTTTACTTGTTGATTGGGAGCTACCCAGAGTTTGACCTAAGATGAGCAGCTATATAAATGTTTTAAATAAATAGATGAAATAAACAGAATATATGCAGGTTGTGTAATGTTCATTTTTTTTCATTGCATGGTTTTTAACAGTCTGTGAAAATCAGAACAGCCCTCTCAAAGCAGAGAGCTGCTCACAACTGAAATAACCTACAAGCCCAGCAGATAAATGAATGAATAGATGAGTCAAATACTG